TTTTGAATTTTATTTAAGCCAATAAATTAATTTTTCTTTTTTTTTTTTTTTTTTTTTTTTTTTTTTTTTTTTTTTTTTTTTTTTTTAATTTTTTTTTTTTGAAATAGTATTTTTCTAATAAAATATTTTCTATCTTTTTTTTTTTTTCTTCTTTACTTCTAGAGTTGTTTGAATGGAAACCAAATAGACGATGTGGCCACCTGTTGTGACAAAATGTCTCTTTGTGAATCTTATTTAAGCCAAATAATTAAGTCTTGTGTCACATTCCAATGTGAAGTAAATCGTTTAGGAACTTTTCATTACGTTTGAATTATCTGTATATCGAATTAAAATATGTGGCCATCAATGTATTACCGTCTTTGTTGACACTATTTGATCTAAAACGTAAGTATAGCTATAGTGAAGAAAAAAAAAGAATACATCAAATTACACAACATGATGTATTCAGTGATTAGTGTTAGACTGCTCATTCCATAGTAATTAGTTGATGATAACGTCAGTGAGGCAGTCAGTCTGTGTGAATGTGAATGTGAGCGTACGTGAGTGAACTGGGGTACCTGTTATTGATCGTTGATTTATTTAGTTAGAAAGATACGCAACAAATGATGAAACAGCTTTGTATTATTGGTTGTGTAGATATAAATAGAGTGGGTAATGTGACATGACGTGTGTGTCACATGGCATAGCGTGTGTGTCATAAGGCATAACAATCGTGTCATATGGCACAACGTGTGTCACATGGCATAACGCGTGTGTCATATGGCATAAGGTATGTGTCATAAGTTATGACGTATTGTCGGGGCTGCACATATTATAACCAAAGGTTTACCTGACCGAAAGATCCCAGACATCCCTTTAAACTCTTAGTAGCGGAACATGCTAAAGTATGTCCATTAAAAAAAAAAAACTATAAATTTAAATCAAGTTATGTAAGGTCACCGGAAATGTTATCAAAGGTATTTCGTCGACGATAAATTGATCGACGGAAATTTGATCGAACGGAATTTTGGTCGAATATTTTTTTCAGTTCCCACGTTAAAATTTGCGTCAAATTTCTTTTTTTACGCACTATGATATATAGTCAAACCAACTAATACGTTCAAACAGAAATTTGAAGCAAAATTTTAACGTAAAAACTGACAAAAAATTCGACTAAATTTCTGTTCGATCAAATTACCATCAATCAATTTACCGTCGTCAAAATTTCTTTCGATCAAATTTCCGGATACGGTCGTTTAAAGCGAAACTAAAATGACAATTATCCGCGTTTTTTTTTAAAAATGTTGTATTGTTTGCTATAAACTTTTGTTATGATAATCATCAAGAGATAAACACATTTGTGAAGGCCATACAATAAAGAGACATTACATATATTAATAAACACTGACAAGAAATATGTTGATAAGTCACTATGGATGCTGTCACTGTGGTTGGCGTCACTAGGATTGACAAAACTATAGTTGGAAACAACATGGTTGCGATCTCTATGGTTGGCTTGACTCTGCTTGATATATCTATGGTTGCGTCACAATGGTTGATATCACTATGGTTGGCGTCACTATGTTGGTATTACTATGCTTGAGATCACTATGGTTGGCGTTACTATGGTTAATATAGCTATTGTTGACATCACTATGGTTGGCGTCACTATGGTTGGCGTCACTATGGTTGGCAACACTATGGCTGACTTTACTGATGTTGGGGGTCATCATATGCGGAAAACTCTTGGAGTCACTTCTCAGGACAACTGCACCTTTGGTAAAATTCTTTCGGTCAGTGCTTCTAGCAGTTGCAATCTTTTCTTGTGGAATCGTGTTCCGGTGGCACAGGTTTATGTGGAGAATTAGAAAATGACGCCCAAGTGGAGAAAATGATGCTGAAAAATGTTGGTGCTATGACGCAATCCTTGTTGATGAGCCACAGGGAGTTGTTGAGACATCTCTCCATTTTCCCCAGACCCTAGCATGCACACACTCGTGGAATAGTCACACCAATGAAATTAGCATTTTGGGGCATTTGGAGTTTCCTATAATATTCAAGAGAACTTCACTGCTGATAGTGTCAAAAGACTTAGGTCTAATTTGGTCAAGAAGAGGTCAACATTTTTGTTTTTGATACTACTCCTGCAGCTGTCTAGTAGCAAACACCATGTCAATAATTACATGCGATTTTTACTATTTGGCAAAAGACCCTTCTAAAGATGGCAATTGAGATTGTTGAAGAAATGTACAACAAGTATCTTACCTGCATTTGAAAGTAATTGAATGCTACGGCTTTTCTGCCCCTTTGACCAACTAGCAGCTCCTCCATGCGATTCTCCTGACACAGTCTTCACATGCAGCGAGGAAAAACCGTCGATTACCAAATACTTGAATTGGTTCGTCTACCCCCCCCCCTTTTCCCCGATAATGGTTTTGTTGGTTTCTCGAAGCCATTGTCCATTGTGTGACCGATGTTCGTGCTACAGCTTCTTTGAGCCACACCTGAGAGTTTAGCACCATGTGAGGGACCAAGATTCATTGGCAACCCCAAAGGAATGCGACTGCTACTCAATCAGAGGTGCTACCTCTCCACAAAGAACCACTTACACCAACAATATGACAACTGTCACACTAACAAAATAAAATCTCTGACACTAACAATATGGCATCTCTCACACTACATTATGACATCTGTAACACTAACAATATGACCTCAGTCTGACATACAATATATTGCTAATATCCCTCCAACATTATGTCATATTCCCCACAAACTAATCAATATACACCATGAACAAAATTTCTTCTGTCCCCTTAACAATATTTCTTTTATTCCACTAGCAAAACTTCAAATCCATCGAAAATGTGTTATTTTATCCCACAAACCATATTTCCTATTTGACAACAAAATTTATTTTTAGTGTAAATGTACATATCAATTTGAAATAAATCTAAGTGCTAATATACCTTGCAATTGCAATAAACATTCATTTTACAAATACAATGATTATTTATACTTTTAAAGCCAACAATATTTGCCTGGAAATAATTTATTAAATTAATTATATTTAAAGAATCTCTGAAGAAATCCTAAGTATACCCTTGGACCAAGCAGTTGACTTCTTCATAACATCAAGTCACCTGCTAAAATGTTAAGTCTTTAAGAAAATAAATTATGGGATGGAAATACCGCTTATTCTTTTATTTTGGGGTGGGGGGGGTTCAAAGGTTTCGGATAGAATTTTGAGCGTCCGTCAAAATGTGTCATGTACGGACTCCACTTATACAAAAAAAAAAATGGTGGTTTGAGGTCAGTGTAAAATAATAGCTAATACCCGGCACCATTTAACCGTAAGTTTAAACAGAAGGTTGATTAAGAACTAAACTAGGTAATTAATAATAAACACTAGAAAATTCATAAAGAAACAGTAGGTAATTAAGAATAAACACTTGGATAATTAAGAAACCAAATCAAAATCACTCCAGGATAACTTAGAATAAAATGTAGAGTAATTTGGAGTAAACACTAGGAACATCAAAAATAAACACTAAGGTAATGTAAATCATACTTATGGGTGATCGAACCGGAAATAACATTTTCCCATTAACTAGACATCCTGGAATGTGGTTGAAGGTATCTATCATCTCATTTTCAAAAACAAAGTGTTGCTTATAATTTGCTAAATTCACCACATTCTTAAACAAGTCCTTGCTAAAGCCTTGGTCATAGTGTGAAATAAATTGTCACACAAATAGGGATGAACTAAAGCATCAAGAACTATTGTTATAGAGAGATGTAAAAGGTTTCCATTATAAGCACCGTGTCTGTACTAATCCAGTGAAAACCACATGCATGTGTACGTTAATTCTAGTGGGAGTTTATCAGATATAAAACAACAAATTTTTTATTATTTATACCAAAAAAATCAAAACACCTAAACTTGTATTTGATCAAAATGAATCTTTTATGAGAAACTGATACAATAATCAATTTACAGAGGCTTAATACACAACACATCTTATAATACGGATGGACCATCATTAAAAACGTTGAACCAAGAAACCAACTCAAAGCAACCAACAAATAAATCAAACCACAAACAAACAAACAAAACACAAACAAATAAACAAACAAAAGACTATAAAGAATAAAACAAACAAATACACGTCTTTTATATGCCCCGAATAGCATTAATTATCTGTCCTGGTATGTGAACTAAAGCTGACCCCGCTCGGCTGCGCTAGTATTGGGTGTGGCTTAGTATTATAGTCTGCATTTAACCTCAGCTACACCTAACTAAAATCTATAGTCTGTTTTTTTTAATTCGAATTTTGTAGAATATCGTAGAAGCAGAGGAAAGCGAGTACAATGCGTTGCCTTCAAGGATTGTCATAAGAAACAGCTATATATATATATAAGCCAAGAGATTGAATGACCAGACAACCAGGCAAAAGATTAGAGTTATTTTCAACGAGTGCGAGTTTTGCTAGAAAACTTTGTTTACTGAGTGTGTATAGATTTCTTTCATGAAAGTACATTTGTACCACATTGTATGTTCTTTAACATTATACCAGTACAAGCCAAAAATTCTCCTGTAACTCAATAGTTTCAATTATATTTCTTTTTGATTTTGTAAATGTATAATTACATTAATTAAAGGTATTAACTGTAATTAGCCCTGCTTTTAGCATCGTATTCTTTGTTATTGTATTTAACATATGGTATAGTCTTTTGAAGTGTACTGTTTTAGAACAAGCCATATACATAAATAAGAGATTACTTTGTCCATACTGATAGAGTCTAACAGTACGTAACATAAACCCATAAAAACAAACACAAAAATAAACAACAAAAATATTTTTTTTTTAAACTAACTATAAATGCGTTACTTTTGAATTTCTTTTTGAGATTTGGATAAAGTCGATACATTTTTTTAAAACTAACTATAAATGTGTTATTTTTTAATTTCTTTTTGAGATTTGGATAAAGTCGATACATTTTCTCAAGTTTTTAAAACAGGTCGCTTAATTTTAAAATCGTGCTTCATTTTGATCAAATTATATATGGTAGCTGATAGATTTATTAATAGCCATGAGTTTGTTAATTCATAAAACATAATCAGGTAGAAACAAATCTCTATTTCAAAAACAAATCAGGATGACTCGAGAAAATGTGTTTTATATATCTTTGGTAACAAACAAAATACAACTGAATTTGATAAGTTAAAAGCTTTCTTTTATTTGTTTTTTAAATTCTGTAAATGACATAACAACACAAACAAATTATCGTTTCTACGTTCATTCTATCTGACACAAAAGATCAGCAGCCGTAATTTAAGCTGGGCAGCCGGTACAGACTATGTTGCCGTTCCTGCAACGACATTCCTCACAATCATCAGATGGGATGACATCATAATGGTTGTGGTGCTGTGAAAGTACATTATTTGAATCATCATTTAACGATATTTTATTCAACAAATTTAATATTTTACGAATATTATTTTCCATAAAATATTGTTTTTTCTTTTTAATTATTTAGAATTTTCCAGCAATAGTGTCATTTCGCATTAAAAGACTGAAATACATCGAACAACAAAAATTTTCTAAACGCAATTATAATGTAAATTTCAAATTAAGTAATAATTATATGTGACGTTATTAAGGAAATACTATGTTTCTTACCTGTCCTTGGATCTCACAATCCAGGGGCTGGTACCATGGACAAGCCATCCTCGTGCAGGCAAAGCCACGGTTTCCACAATTACAATTGTTACAGCTATCAATAACTTTCCCCACAGACTCACCAAGTGCAATGCTCTGATAACAGGTTATGTGACATGTGTAGAAAATATATGTGTTTAAAATGAGTTTCTAAACTATTTTTTTTTAAAATTATTACAAATAACACAATAGCTTACTCAAAAATCATGAAATAACAAATTACTTTAACAAACGTTGCTCTGATCAGCATGTCTGTAATGAAATCTTAACTAAACAGGCGCTGCCACAAATCCCCTTGCCTACCAGGGGAACATAACCACCAACCCCCTTGGCCTACCAGGGGAACATAACCACCAACCCCCTTGCCCTACCAGGGGAGCATAACCACCAACCTGCTTGCCCTACCAGGGGAAAATAACCACCAACCCCCTTGGCCTACCAGGGGAACATAACCACCAACCCCCTAGCCCTACCAGGGTAACATAACCATCAACCCCCTTGCCTTACCAGGGGAACATAACCACCAACCCCCCTGCCCTACCAGGGTAACATAACAACCAACCCCCTTGCCCTACCAGGGGAACATAACTCCCCTTGCCTTACCAGGGGAACATAACCACCAACCCCCCTGCCCTACCAGGGTAACATAACAACCAACCCCCTTGCCCTACCAGGGGAACATAACCACCAACCTCCTTGCCCTACCAGGGGAACATAACCACCAACCCCTTGCCCTACCCGGGGAACATAACCACCAACCCCCTTGGCCTACCCGGGGAACATAACAACCAACCCCTTGCCCAACCAGGGGAACATAACAATCAACCCCCTTGCCCTACCCAGGGAACATACCAACCAACCCCTTGCCCTACCTGGGGAAAATGACCACCAACCCCCTTTCCCTACCCGGGGAACATAACAACCAACCCCTTTGCCCTACCCAGGGAACGTATTAACCACTGCATCATGCTTCCCATTCCGTCAGTCCAACGGCATGCATAGTATCTCCCCAAATTGTACCAACGACCATCAGAAGTAGCATTTTCCAACTGTAGTTATATCTACAGTGAAATCAAAGGTAGACACGAGGTATGGATCATGTTGCTGATGATATTTATGAGACATGAGGCGGTTAGTGAACGTCTCATGGTACTGATTCTAAACACACAGTCTTTAAGAAGGCTTTTCATGGGGAACCGTTTCATCCCATCGTTATTTATTTACACGGTAGAAGTTGGCGGTAGAAAACCGAAATTAAAGGCGACCACCGCTTCCCCCGGATGTACAGGACAGTATTTTAGGACATAAATGAAACATCTCGACCCTTGCACAGTGAATTGCTAGTGATATAAGCATGGCCAAACCATCGAACATTCGGATGTACTTAGGGTGAGATTACCCCGAAAAGTCTAGTCAATGGAGTGAATTTACGGAAGGTTATTGTTCTAGCAGAAGGATGAATCCAACGTGCCACTTCGCGGCCCCATATGTAGGAGACTGTTCCAGCAGAAGGATGAATCCAACGTGCCACTTCGCGGCCCCATATATAGGAGACTGGTCCAGCAGAAGAATGAATCCAACGTGCCCCCTCGCGGCCCCATATGTAGGAGACTGTTCCAGCAGAATAATGAATCCAACGTGCCACTTCGCGGCCCCATATGTAGGAGACTGTTCCAGCAGAAGGATGAATCCAACGTGCCACTTCGCGGCCCCATATTTAGGAGACTGTTCTAGCAGAAGGACATCCCTAACGTTGCGCACTTGGCCGAGTATTTGTGTACTGTGCGGGATTAGGAGCGTGCTTTGATGAAGGTATTAATCACTTTATCTCGACGGTTCACTGACGACATTTCTAAAGTACTTACATTTGCTGGTCCAACAATTTGGAACGCCCTTTATGTCTGTCTCAGAAACAATCAGACACTGGAGTCCTTTAAAACCGATTTAAAGACATATTTATTTCGCAAACACCTTCTGGGATGATTGTCTACCATATTTTCCATTTAATGCATATTAGCTGTGTTTCTCAGGGTTGAAATGTCTAGAAAGACTTTGACATTGTATGCTTGTAATTAGTTTTTGTAGTGTTGCGTTTGTTTTAAATGTGGTAAATTATAGATTTTTTACTCTTGTACCGCGCTTCGAGCCTTTGGGGATGAAGCGTGTTTTTGAAATACACGTTATTATTATTATTATTACAAATAAAAGTATAAAAATAATATTATTGCGATGTTTATTGATGTACTTTTTCCAGACCTGATTTGAATTTTTTATAATGTACTTTTTCAGACCTGAATTTGAATTTTTTATTAATGTACTTTTTCAGACCTGAATTTTTTTATTGATATACTTTTTGAGACCTGAATTTTTTAATTGATGTACATTTTGAGACTTGAATTTTTTATTGATGTACTTTTTCAGACCTGAATTTTTTTTATTGATGTACTTTTTGATACCTGAATTTTTTATTGATGTACTTTTTCAGACCTAAATTTTGTATTGATGTACTTTTTCAGACCTGAATTTTTTTTTCTTTTTAATATACGTGGCAATGTAAACCTTTTAAATACATGTAAATCTCTTTTTTCGTGCAATTAAAAATGTTAACTTATAGATGTCATTTAACAGACATATAAAAATTTCATTGAGTGGTGTGACGACACATTATATTTTTTAATGTATGTACTTAATTTGAGAAACATAAAAGTTAACAAAACACTGCTTAATTCACCTTTGTCGTTATATATAGTACATTGCATACATTACAATGAAATGACACACGGTATACTGCATACATTACCATAAAATGACGTAGAATATGCTACTCACTTGGCCATTGATCCGACAGACCGTCTCAATAATTTCCGATTCTCCAAAGCCCAAGTTCATGCAGCACACCATCAAGGCAACCATTGTAACAATCAATTTCATTTTCGATTTCTAAAGTTGAAAGAAAATTTAATTTATAATTATTTCTAACAAACGCCCTTAATGAAATTATTTACTCTAAAACTTATATTATCATGAAATTATTGTTAAAGTATACAATCTCTTAAATGATAACAAAAACCAATAACTTTCTAGTGGAGAAGCTGATTAATCTTAAAATTGAAATAATCCTTACATTTATCTGAAGGAGAAGTGAATTTTTGCTGCAATTATTTACTAAAAACAAGCATTAATATCATTCAATAGCAACAGCGACATTCTGCAGTGTAATTGTCTCAACAATTATTGTCAAATTGTGTGGCGTTTGTTCATTAAAATTCAAAACGCAATTTGGAATAAGCGCTTTTAAATATTGCAATTATTATTTATGTTGGTCCGAGGACAAAATTTTATCACTAAAACTCAATTAACACGAGATAGAATCATACAGCAAACGTTCCATAAAGATCGCCCTGTCTGATGACACAGCAAAGGCTTTGATAAAGTATGTAAATTCATACAATATGTAGCATAGAAGTTACATTGACTCAGGCAACAGATAATAGGCACACATGATGTCAGGTTATTTTTTACAAACTTAAATGGGATTTTCCTTTCAGATCCCACCCTCCGTCTAACAATAGGAGTTTATTTTAGTGTTGAACCTATTAAAATTGTGTAGCATAAAGATGTGTCTTTTGGAATATGAAATCATCCCATGCACAGGTAACAAAGCAAAGAGCTGCTGACACGTTGCCGATGTTTTACTTTTGAAAGTCGACCCGTTAAGAACTGTGCCACGGTGTTTAGGGTTCCACTTTTGAAACCGTTACTGTGTACGCCAAAGCCTGGAGGCCACTTTGAGGCCGTTAGTATTACTTTCCTCGGAGAGCTTTCAGCGTTCTGTTGGTTACTCTGTGTACAAGATGACCGGTACAAATCCACCAGTCTTGGCAGGCATAAAACTTGTGTAGTAGTTGTGATGGCAACATCGGGCTTGAAGAATAGAACATTTTTTATACCTTTATATTAATTAACTTCGCTTGTGTTCTTGGCTGGCAGGCCAAATCTTCGGACGGCTAACTGACCCATTCTCGTCAGCCCGTTAAGCTGAAATTGGCCCAAATAAACCTATCAAATGTTCAGCCCCATCCTTCAACCCAACAAAAATCAATTTTTCCTGTTTTCAAGAAAAAGATAAAGACAAATGCTGAAGATGAGTTCATGAAATAAAATTCCCGCCAACTGCGCTAAAAGACATTTTTTTTTTTAAAATCCCAAACGTGCCTTTGGTGCGTAATATTTTCTTTCGTTTTTTCTGAAAAGGTTGTTGAAATAAATCTGCAAATGAAATTCGAGTGTTTCGCTGAAATATGAATATAGTTCAGGGGCGTGAAAAAATATGCAGTTCTCAGGCATGGGGGGGGGGGGAAGAACTATTTTGGATTCTTACACTGTGGGTTATTTGTAAAAATGTCTTGTGGATTCTTACACTGTTTGTTATTTAATATGAATATAGTTGAGGGGGGTGAAAAAATATGGAGTTTTCAGGCATGGGGGGGGGGGGGAAGAACTATTTTGGATTCTTACACTGTGTGTTATTTGTAAAAATGTCTTGTGGATTCTTACACTGTTTGTTATTTGTAAGAATGTCTTGTGGATTCTTACACTGTGCGTTATTTGTAATAATGTCTTGTGGATTCTTACACTGTGCGTTTTTTGTAAGAATGTCTTGTGGATTCTTACACTGTGCGTTATTTGTAAGAATGTCTTGTGGATTCTTACATTGTGCGTTATTTGTAAGAATGTTTTGTGGATTCTTACACTGTGCGTTATTTGTAAGAATATCTTGTGGATTCTTACACTGTGCGTTATTTATAAGAATGTCTTGTGGATTCTTACACTGTGCGCTATTTGTAAGAATGTCTTGTCAAATTTTCAGCCCTACCCCCATTGCTCGCTATTGCATTATTTTTAAGGATTTATACGAAAACTATTTTTTTAAGGGGTTATTTATTTATTTAGCATCTATAAAAAAAACCTAGTGATGATCTGAGAAAGCCGCTGCCCCCCCCCCCCTTTTGTTTCTTTGAATCAGCCGATCAAATATCTCGTGAGTTAAGTCTAAAATTGGACACAACAGATTTAAGGATATCATTTGAGGAAACACAATAATATTGACACAAATGCGTGGTGTTTCAAAGTGTTTGCACACATTTTTTTTCATGGCATAAATGTGCTATTTCTAGGCATCAAAGATGTTTATATATGTTTGCATTTAATCACGTTTGTAAAAATGTTGACTAATAAAAATATAATATAAAGTACACTTACAGTTGACTACACAGTAATAAAAAAAATCACAAAGTACACTTACAGTTGACTACACAGTAATAAAACAATCACAAAGTACACTTACAGTTGACTACAAAGTAACAAAAAAAATCACAAAGTACACTTACAGTTGACTACACAGTAACAAAAAAAATTACAAAGTACACTTACAGTTGACTACAGAGTAACAAAAAAATTACAACGTATACTTACAGTTGACTACACAGTAACAAAAAATCACAAAGTACACTAACAGTTAAATAAACAGTAACGAAATAAAACATAAAGTACACTCACAGATGTCGACACAGTAACTCAGTGACTACAGATACACGGATGTCCAAATTGAGATGTGATTCCCAGACGTACACAACAAACCCTTGTTCGGCTGTTTATATTTGTAAATACCTCCCCCCCCCCCCCCCCACAAACCTAGTTTCACCCAGCTGTTGTCTGTATCTCACTCTCGCCAGTCATTAACTGCTGTGGTAATCACTCGTAAAAAGCCAAGCAAAAATTATGTTTTAAGTTTACCCATTCGTAGAGGGCTCGCATCGAAGAAAACAAACCTTGACCTTTCAATCCAAATGGTCAACAGATGTTCATGTTGTGGACAACTATAATCTTAGTGGTTCTCCAACTTTTCAATAATGCTTCTCTTAAATGTACGAGATGTATTTTATAGAAATTTAGTAGTATAATTCAATTGAACATCTTTTGTATCAATCATTTTGCATAATTTTCATTGCAAAGGTATTTTTCTCCATCCTTTGTTACGCATTGTTCATTGTTTATTCCAAATCTTAACATATTTTCAATTTTCAATATATCAAGCGCGGGTATCCATGCTACTTTAGCATGCTCAAGAAGAAATTAATGAAAGGACTGCTTTCAAGCTTAATAAATGAATGAAATAGCGAAACGAGGTATGTGGAAGCTTGAAATAAGATAACAGGACAAAAAACAAGGACGTTTCGGCATAAAGCCTTCCTCAGCCAACAATAGAAATGAAAATATAACAAAGAAAAGAGCACAGTAGACAACTCAAGCAGTGTTCATTCGTGTCTCCGGAAGTGAAAAAACAGGAAGCGAGAGAATATAACTATTGACACTGTGAAAAATAAAGTCCACAATAATAATGGACTAGAATATCCAGGGATACATCAGCACACAGCAATAAGAATATAGATGAAATATAAGGAAACAGAGAAACATCAGTAGGATATTATTTGATTAATACCATATGGAGATATGGTGCCAAACAGCTGAATAAATTTATTTTCCATTTTAACCCTATCTGGTGTGTTACTGCATGAAATCAGTGCCGTAATGGTTACTGCGCTCTGGTTTCCATAAATCTATTAAAACAGAAAAGTTTTCAAATGTTTCTTAATGATTTTTTATCATTTCCTATTCCCGTCAAAGATTGAGACAAACTGTTCCATAATTTTGACACTATCGCTTCAAAAGAGCGCACTCCGTAAAAAAAAATTCTGTGATCATCCACATTGGGATTTTCAGTCAGGACTGTGTTGAAGACTGCAAGTTCTTTAAGGCTACGTGTTTATAAATCAGTTATTTGAGATATTCCTGTGCAGAGCCTTCTATGCAGCTGTACGCCAGGGACAGAATTTTGTGGTTAATGCGCTCACTCACAGGAACCCAATGGAGATCTCGTAGAACTGGGATGATGTGGTCACAAGGGTACGTTACAGCTATGATTTCATGTTATTAAAAGAATCACAAAGTTAACTGGCATTCATAAAGATTGATTTGGTGTATCCAGGGGCCTTGTTTTTTTATGATTTTTGCCACCTTTATATAAGTTGTGCTTATGGAAGGGAGAATTTCAAAATTGACACTTGTCCCCAAATATAATTGTGTCAAAATATAATTTAGTACGTTTTATTAGGCTGTCGATATCACACAAGGCATCATTTCCTTCCAACCAGAACAACGAGTGTTCATATCAGACCACAGATTTTTTTTTTTTTAATTATTGACATCTATACATTTATCAAAGGCTTCTTAAATACAAGACTTGTAAATTATCATCTCAATTTTATTATTGACATCAGATGATCACATAGTATTATCACAGTGTTAAACCTGGATTTTGGATAAAATTATATAGAGAGAAAATGAGCACCTGCAAGATCAGATATTTTAAGGCCAGCGGCTGGTAAAACAGCAAGGGACCACATTCGGAACCGGGAAATTAGCCACATTGTTTAGCCATCCGAGTAAGCAAGTAATTGGCTTTACAAGAAATTAATTGGTTTGACACCTTGTCATAATAAATCAACCAACTCGCATAGCAAGCGTTCGATGGCAGGCATTCTGGTTTCAGAGTTTATTGTATGAAAGGTGATGGACCACTAATTCATTGTTTACAAGAATTGATATTAATCTGGAGTTTTATGGGGTAACATTTCTCCATTTTCCGGGTCACAGTCTGTCACATGGCGGCCTAAGGTCGAGGCGAGATTGGCCTGGGGCACGAGTGATCTGGGAAACATTCGGGGTACATGCTCGCCCAATCCCATGTTACCCACACGGATAATGTGGGGAAAATTGTCCACATGTTTGGAGCTAGGGTTAGGGCACATGTTTGGATCTAGGGTTAGGGAACAAGTTAAGAGTTGGGTTAGGGCTAGGCTTAGGTCACATGTTAGGAGCTATCCATAGCGTTAGGGAACATGTTAGGATCTAGGGTTAGGGCACCTGCAAGGAGCTTGGGTTAGAGCACATATAAAGAGCTATGGTTAAGGCACATTTCCGGATCTAGGGTTCTGGAACATGTTAGGAACTAGGGTTAGGGTACATGTTATGAGCTAGGATTAGGGCACATTTGGAGCTTGGGTTAGGGCACATGTTAGGAGCTAGGGTTGGGGCACATTTCGGATATAGGGTTATGGAACATGTTAGGAGCTAGGGTTAGGGAACAAGTTTGTAGCTGATGTTATGGAACATGTAAAGACCTAGGGTTTAATTAAGTTTTAAGAATTAGGGTTAAGGTTTATGTTGCGAGCTAGATTTAGGGCTCATGCTGGAAGGTACGGTTAGGGTACATGTTGGGAGCTATGGTTAGAGTACATGTTGGGAGCTATGGTTAGAGTACATGTTGGGAGCTATGGTTAGAGTACATGTTGGGAGCTATGGTTACAGTACATGTTGGGAGCTATGGTTAGAGTACATGTTGGGAGCTATGGTTAGAGTACATGTTGGGAGCTATGGTTAGAGTACATGTTAAGGAGCTATGGTTAGAGTACATGTTGGGAGCTATGGTTAGAGTACATGTTAAGGAGCTATGGTTAGAGTTCATGTTGGGAGCTATGGTTAGAGTACATGTTAAGGAGCTATGGTTAGAGTACATGTTAAGGAGCTATGGTTAGGGTACATGTTGGGAGCTATGGTTAGGGTACATGTTGGGAGCTTTGGTTAGAGTACATGTTGGGAGCTATGGTTAGAGTACATGTTGGGAGCTATGGTTAGAGTACATGTTGGGAGCTATGGTTAGAGTACATGTTGGGAGCTATGGTTAGAGTACATGTTGGGAGCTATGGTTAGAGTACATGTTGGGAGCTATGGTTAGAGTACATGTTGGGAGCTATGGTTAGAGTACATGTTGGGAGCTATGGTTAGAGTACATGTTGGGAGCTATGGTTAGAGTACATGTTGGGAGCTATGGTTAGAGTACATGTTAAGGAGCTATGGTTAGAGTACATGTTGGGAGCTATGGTTAGGGTACATGTTGGGAGCTATGGTTAGAGTACATGTTGGGAGCTATGGTTAGATTACATGTTGGGAGCTATGGTTAGAGTACATGTTGGGAGCTATGGTTAGGGTACATGTTGGGAGCTTTGGTTAGAGTACATGTTGGGATCAATGGTTAGAGTACATGTTGGGAGCTATGGTTAGAATACATGTTGGGAGCTATGGTTGGGGTACATGTTGGGAGCTATGGTTAGAGTACATGTTGGGAGCAATGGTTAGAGTACATGTTGGGAGCTATGGTTAGAGTACATGTTGGGAGCTATGGTTAGAGTACATGTTGGGAGCTATGGTTAGAGTACATGTTAAGGAGCTATGGTTAGAGTACATGTTGGGAGATATGGTTAGAGTACATGTTGGGAGCTATGGTTAGAGTACATGTTAAGGAGCTATGGTTAGGGTACATGTTGGGAGCTATGGTTAGGGTACATGTTGGGAGCTATGGTTAGAATACATGTTGGGAGCTATGGTTAGAGTACATGTTGGGAGCTATGGTTAGAGTACATGTTGGGAGCTATGGTTAGAGTACATGTTTGGAGCTATGGTTAGAGTACATGTTAAGGAGCTATGGTTAGAGTACATGTTGGGAGCTATGGTTAGGGTACATGTTGGGAGCTTTGGTTAGAGTACATGTTGGGAGCTATGGTTAGAGTACATGTTTGGAGCTATGGTTAGAGTACATGTTGGGAGCTAAGGTTAGAGTACATGTTTGAAGGTATGGTTAGAGTACATGTTGGGAGCTATGGTTAGAGTACATGTTGGGAATATGCTTAGAGTAAATGTTAAGGAGCTATGGTTAGAGTACATGTTGGGATCTATGGTTAGAGTAAATGTTAAGGAGCTATGGTTAGAGTACAGGTTGAGAACTAAGGTTAGGTCGCATGTTAGGACCAAAGAGAAGGTTACATGTTAGGACGAAGGATTAGAGCACATGTCAGGGATCTAGGGTTATAGTACATGTTGGGAACCTGAGATAGAGTAGATATTAGGAGCTTGGGCTAGAGTACATGTTATGAGCTAGGGTTAGGGTACATGTCAGAAGCTAGGGTTAGGGTACATGTTAGGAGCCACGTATATGGTACATGTTAGGTTCTAGGGCTAGGGCACATGTTAGTACCTAAAGTTAGGGCACATGATTACAGCTGCACCTAAGCCATATTAGATAACAAAGTCGTTATCGTTGACAAAAAAATGAACACCCCATTGATGACGTGTCTACTAGGCAACAACCTCTGAGGGTGAGTCTCCTGGTTGACACCCCTTGAGGGTGAGTCTCCTGGTAGACACCCTTTGAGGGTGAGTCTCCTGGTTAACACCCCTTGAGGGTGATTCTCCTGGTTGACACCCCTTGAGGGTGAGTCTCCTGGTAGACACCCCTTGAGGGTGAGTCTCCTGGTAGACACCCCTTGAGGGTGAGTCTCCTGGTAGACACCCCTTGAGGGTGAGTCTCCTAGGCAAACGTTTCATCCCCGTCACTAGCTAGTACCTGTCTTGTGATGTGTATGTAAGGGCCAGGATTCGACATCATATTTTCAGTTTAAAATGTGTGTAGGAGTTGTTTCAAAGCATTTTCCTACTAAAAGCAAATG